CCCCAAAACCCCAAAACCCCAAAACCCCTAATATACAAAAGAAGGTTGGCAACAGTTATAAAAATATTTTCTAATATGGGGAACAATAATAATTATTGCTGAAACTACGCATCCGAAGAGGTATGGCAACATTATAGGTTTAATCATTTAGGGAAGAGATAAAAAGTTAAAATCCACACTTTCAAAACAATCAAGTAGGAGATATTCTAAGAAGAATGGGAATAAACCAACAAATAACCTCGTGACCAATCAAGGGTAAATATTTACATTCCTTTGAGCTTAGGAAAATAGTTCTATTTGTATGGTTTCTAATTCTATATAATCCAAGATTTTGATACTTCTGGGTTAACTTTGACAATTTCTTAGGGTAGTCACTACTAACCAAAATGCCATCTACACAGAGACAGGAAACCAAATTGTTAAGGATATATTAAAATCAAAGAACCCAAACGAGCCTGTTAAACTCCCGAATGGTGAGGAAATTCAATAATTTTCTAGTTAAAGAAGAGAAAGAGGTTCCCTTAGAACTAAGTGAGGAGAAATCTTTGAGAAAGAAGGACGAAGCTGAAGAGAATAAGCTCGGAGACAAGGACCAAAAGCCTGCTGTCCGGACCACACTGGTTGCTCCTGAGATGAAGATGCATGGTAATTCTTTTCTATAACCTTCTAGTAAAGTCAGAGGTCTCTAAAGGGAGTCCTACTCAGCTAGAAATCAAGCAAATTAGGGGTAACACAAAGATAAACCGGTCTGATATAAAATAAGAGTGAACATGATAGCAAGACTTGGTCTAAGAACCAAGGTCAATTCAAGAATAAGAGGAGTGAGGGTAGTAAAGGCAAAAAGCATCATAGCATCATCAGTATCAGCAGCAAGAAGAAAGGACAGGAAATTGTCCTTAGTAAGCACAAGAATCCTAACTTGAGTAAAGTCAACGAAGAAGAGAAGAATATGGAGGAAGACAAGCAGCTTGATGGTATGGGCTTTGACTGCTTTGAAGTAGATGAGCAAGATTATGATAAATATTCCGCTAAATTAGCCTTAATGTATGAAAAATACTCCTTCAAGGAGTACCTAGGTGTCGGAGTTTATAGCGAGGTTAGAAGAGTTGTGAATAATTTCACACAAGAATCTTTCTCCATGAAGATTTTGAAAAAGGATTATCTTAAGAAGGAGAAACCTGTCAAACCTGTACTAGACTATTTGGTCTCTAGTGAGCATAAGAACGTCACAAAGGTTATCGAATATTTCCAGGATAAGAAGTTTTACTATGTAGTATATGAGTTCAACCAGGGTGGCATGATGTTCGATTATATCTGCGAAACTGTAAACTATGATAAAAAGATGATAGCTAATATCATCAAGCAGATCCTCTCAGCTCTGCTTTACAATCAAGGCCAAGGCAATGAGATATACCATAAGGAAATTAGACCAGAGAATTTGATGATTGAAGATGCTTTGCTTGATATAATCAACTTAAAAATTAACGATTTCAGTACTTGAGTAGAGTACAATGGCAAAAACAAGAAGAAAAAGCAGATGAAACAGACATTTTCCTCCATCTATTTCCTTCCACCAGAAGTGATTGCTAATATTGGTTACCAAGAAAATTCAGATATATGGAGCACTGGAATATTGCTATACATACTTTTTACAGGAATTAATCCAATAAAGGACATTTCAAACAAGTTCACGATCAAAAATATAAAATCAAAGAATTTCAAAATTCCAGATTTAGTAAAAACAGGTATCATTGAAGAAGAAGCTGGGGATCTCCTCCAGAAGATGCTTGAAAGAGACTGACGTAAGCGTATCTCCATCATAGATGCTATGAATCATCCCTGGGTGATCAAGTACTCTAAGGAAGAGGTTGGGGATGCAATTATTTCAATCAATATCCAACAAAAAATCACTCAATTTTGGAACCTTTATTCTCTTCAAGAAATATGTATGAAGTATTTCGGATTTCTGACCCTCAACAGTATGAGAATCGATTCCATTGAAACTGAAGCTGAGAAGGAGGGCATCAGAAAAGCCGATCAGTGAGATTATGACCAATTATTTGACATCTTAATGGAAGTCACGAAAAATAGCAAGGAATCTGTCGAGTTTGAACTCAAAAATACACTGAAGAACATAAAATGAAACAACGGTAAGCTTGAGCCTTATTTAGATTTAGACTCAGGTACCTACACTTTTGGAGATTTCTTATCAGGAATCAGCAAAGCTCAGGAGGAGTTCTGTGAAGCCAAGATTCGAACAAATCTTGCAAGGATGAATCCTGAAGGAAAGATGAAATGCGATGATGTTAGAAGGATGCTCATTGAGAGAGAAGACTCTATCAACCCCGATTGGAATGACGTCCTGAAAAAGTTTAGCATAAAGAATACTGACCAGATTGGCTATGATATGTTCATTAAAGTGTTCAAGGAGTTTAGGTGTTAAACACACCTTTTCGGAGTTTTAAACTAATCCATGAGATCTCTTAAAGCTGATAAATTTATTATTGAGTTACATTAGAAGGGGTTTTGGGGTTTTGGGGTTTTGGGG